TCATATTTCGATTTATTTTTATCTGTTCTCAAGCAAATATTTTCAGCTAATCAACTTTTATTATCTAGAATGTAAGTTGTGTGTCTCCACTAAGTCTGATGTAAGTAATATGCGTTGCTTATCAAAAGCATTATCTTCTTAAACTACTAGGTCAATTAGAACCACACTGAATCGTTCCAAGAATATATTATTTGTAAATTTTGTAAATTGTATCTACTGTTGTGGAGAAATAAAGATCAGGGTAAAGCATTTGACAAACCTAAACATTCGAGAGTGTGTATGGTTATGCTTTAAACAATTTAACTTGTTTTTAGTTTATACATGTTGCGTAAAGAGCAGCTAAAACGTTTAATGTTATTGTTGATATTGCTTTGATATGATAACAGAACCAATTCTGTGGTAAAGTGCAAACAATTATAATTAGTTCCAACCGGTTTGCTTATCAATTTTTAAAGTCCCGCCCACTATATTTTGTAAATATATTTTCAATCTTAAATTAATTAGAGTATTGACTTTTTGAGACAGCATGGTTTCTAACAAATACGGATTTGTTGCTTACTATTTATCGATAAAAATCTTACAATTTATTGTTTTATTCATTTACAACTCGAAAGGAATCGGCTAATTTAGACCGGATACTTGAATTGACAACAGTATGGTGGCCCCTTCAAGTCAACAATGATCATTTTGTCTCTTTAACGGTGTTTTATATAGTTCTTTTGTCATTATTTTCCATATACTCAGTTAATCTAAATGACTTTTTGTAACTGCTGCATTGCATTGTTGTCTTCAGTCAATGCATCTGTAAATGATTGCTGCTCTCGATGGACGTTTCTGTATTAACTTTCTTAGGAATGTCTTGAACCAATAGTTTATAAAGATAATTACACTGCTAATTCATGATTACATCAGATATATATAGTGTATAACCAAAATAATTTCAAAATCTCATCAAATATACCAGGCTTATAATTTGACACCAGACACGCGTTTTTTCTACATAAAATTCATCAGTGGCGCTAAACTCAAAATAGTTGGATGTCAAATTCAATACGAAGTTGAAGAGCACTGAAAACAAAAAATATCGAAAAAGTTGTGCCAAATACGACGAAGACAATTTGAGTGTAGAAAAACAGTCGAAGGTCGACTTTTGGGAAGTTCAAACAGCAGTTGTTATCAACTTGGTTGTTTATCTAAAAGGCTTTTTAATAGCTTAGATTTAACTTAAGCGTTCCATCAATACATTGTAAAAATTAAATCCTGACAATGAATTACCAAATTCAAACTTTTTAAAAATTAATTCAAGTATCTCAAATTGATACACAGACCTGGGCAAACGTGTTTTAACACTGCAATAACATTGATATTGGTAGACTGAAATTGAAACAGTTATCATAACAAAACTACAAACATAGTTTTCATCATTATTTTCACTACGTCCTGTTTATCAACTATTGAGGACAAAAATTCGAAATGTGTACATCAAATGCATGTGTAAAAAAACAATTAATGCAGCACGTACTTTTAATAAAAAAAATCTATTCAATATCAAAAAAATGAGTTTCACTATTATACATTTATCTACCCTTTCGAAGGTACATGGCAAATATCAAATAAAAGATATTCTCGACCACTTTAGAATGAAGGTTGTAGTTTAATTTTAACAAGCGTAAGACAAACAAGTTGCTGAACTATGTCTATTTAACTTGGCTTGGTGTGTGCTTTTCAGATATGTATCCTCCCTATGTCAATTACTGAAAGATATTGGTTGTACACATAAGTGCATTGACACAGACTACATAATTGCGAATATATATACAATTTGTGTACCTGATAATTCAGCAACAATATTAATCATCCTATTCAGAAATTATAGACTTACCCGCATTTGTATTGAGAATATAATTGGTAGTCACAAAATCAAAATCAGTATTTAGAATTAAAAACAAGTTTAATACTAAACACCACATTTCTATGATAGCCAAGGAAATGATTATAAACCAAGTTATTTCATTTGGAACACGGAAATAGACATTTTCATATTTTATCATTTAGGATAAATTAATGCAATGAGTCACGTATATTTGCAGATTCCGTTTTAATTATTATTAATGTTGCTGTTGCGAAACGTCTCTAACAGGTACTGGCCATGACAATACCAAATCGTTGTTTGTTTTCAATAATGACAATTTAAAACGATTTGCAATATCAACATCTAGTATTTATAAACAATAACATTTTTGATTTACCTTTAATATGAGACTATATGACAAATCTTCTGTATTTTTTTTTCTTCAGAAGTTGGATATGATTGACAATAAGATAACTATTACCCAGATACCAAAGAAGTTGAGGTAAGCAACTATAGCTAACCGTACGGTCTTAAAAAATTTGCAAACCCATACCGTATAGAGAGCAATAAAAGGCCCCGGTAAAGAGAAAATGTGAAAATATTTATACGAGAAAAAAAAGCGGCCTTATCTAATCTAAAACAATAAACAAAAATACAAATATGGAAGACAGCAACCAACAACAACCACTCAATTACAGGCTCCAAACTTGGGACAGACAGCTAACAAAAAAGTCAAATAACAGAAATCGCCGATCTAAGAGTACTCACAGATAAAACTCATTAAAGATACCGAGCTTATAATTGTTGCGCTAGAGGTGCGTTTCTTTTACATAACCATAAGCAGTGGCACTCGAATCAAAACCACAAGCAAGCTACAATCAAACACACGAAGTTGAATAGCATTGCAAAAACATCCAACAAGTTATGCCAAATACAGTTGAAGCCACCTACATATACCATGGGGTGTAGAAAAAAACTTAGTGTTTGAGTAAGTCAAATTTTATAAACAAGTTTTCCCATACTATAATATCGATCAGTACACATCCAACGGACGTGGTAATCATTCACAGCCCGAGAAAGGCATGACTTTGTGCAATGCCTAGAAATGATTATCGACAGGATGTAGTACCATAAATGTGTGTAACTGTATAGCAACACATAGTTAGCAATGTTTTAATTCTTAAAAAAAAAACCCAAAAAAAAACAATTGTTTTATTGATAAAGACAACCTTCAAAGATCTTACTATAGTGTTTAGTTGTTGACCTTTACATATAAGTGTATTCAAAGTACCAATAAGCTTAGCACTTGGAACTTATCTTCATTTACGTGCCCTTATCACAATATGTCCGTATAAATTCAAACTTTAAAACCAATCCTATGTATATACGAAAAATTCAGTAAAATTATGAAAGTAATTTGTGGTATCGAAATCCATCTTTTTTAAAAAGTGAGGCTAAACATATCAAAGGGACATTCAAACTCACAAGTCTAAGACACACTGACAACGCCGTGGAACGAAAAGGAAAAAAACGAACATCAGTCTACAAAATATAACATAGAAACATAAAGACTGAGCAACACGATCCTTATCGAAAACCGGAGATGATATTAGGTACCCCGGAAGTATAAGCAGATCTGCTCCACATGTGACACCCGTCGTGTTGCTCACACGAAGCGACCTATCATACTAAAGTGAGCGAGTCCAGAGATAAAATTTTAATTACATTGCTTCTTATTTTAGTTTCACTTCAGATGAGATATTCAATAATAATCTTTTATTCAATTAGGTCTCGAGCATCACTCAAGAGACAATAATTGTCAAAATGTGCATATAATAAATAACATTGGTACTGTAAATGTTATTATTACACATGCTCCTTTTACCAAGTATAACTAATATCTAGAAACACGATGTACTTAAACCGTGTTTAATGTATTAACCACCAGGCAACCCAAAATTTAATTTTGGCAAAATTTTGAAAGGTATATTTGATTATGTATTAAGTATTAAGCTACACTATATAACGGTATTAGCCCAAACCATACCTGATTTTGGACAAATGAATATCACTACTTTTAAGTTATTAGTACTCACCATCAAACCTTTTAATAAAAAAAAATCCTTCTGTCTGTTTGCAATAATTTGTTATCACTTCCTAACCACATTTAGTTACATGTGCAATCTACTCTATCGACATCTAAGCTATGTGCTATTTGATTTATTATACTGATTGTTACTTTATTATTGTCCTTTACATGTTAAATTGAAAGTGACAAATTATGACGTACACAACAACTTTACAGTCGTCTGGAAAGTAACAATACTGAAGCAAATTGATTTTTTTTAATGTTGACAATCTTTGAAAAAGCAAAAAACTTTTATAAAACTTTCTTATATTAACGCCTACCTATAGTTTTTTTTAAGTTAAATTTCTTCAGATTGGTCCAATTCATCTTTAGTTAAAGTATGTAAAAAAGTTTAATTGTGAAACTGATTTTTTCATGATATCCAAAAATGGGTAAAAATTGATGGAAAATGGGAAAATCATAAGAATGGGGTACTTTCAAATGGCCATAGCAAAAAAGTGCACCACCATATGACTTTTCATCAATTACTTTCTTACAGTCTTATAAACCCAAAAAATCAGGTTAAGAAAAAAATTTTAATTCTAGAAATGTTTTGGCTCCTCAGAGGTGTACATCCTTAATAAAGCGCACCAATGATCAAGCGTCTCCGTGAAGGGTAAAAATATAAGCCAGGAGATCGTTTATAAATAAAACATAGCATAGAGGATGATAGACCAGATTGTTACCCCGGGAAAACATTGTATACCGAGGTGATGTCAAGTTTGACAATTTTTTGAAGGGTAACAATCTGCTCTATCACCCTCTCAGCGATGTGTTATTTAATTTATAATTATACTGAATCATCTGTTAATATTGTCTTTTAAATTTAATTTAAGGTAATCAACTATGACGTCATGTAAATAACAACCTTCCGTCAAAGATCAAGCGTCTCTGTGAAGGGTAACATAATGTAAGTCATGGAATAGATGACTTTCTCAAATTGTGTTAAAATATACATTCAAATCAATTATTTTGTATTTTGAAAAGGTATACAAACATAGTTTCCCTATCATCCTTTATTCTACAATAGTAATACTCGCGTATGACAGTGAAAATGAACTATCTGGATTCGCTCTTTGTATACACTGGCGTTCGTTTATTTAAAAATAAATATTGACTAGTATCAAACTAGTGAACATACTATCATTCTTGATGTCATTTTCAATTATTCAAAATACAGAGATACACAAAGTTTTGCAAATGTTTAAACAATGAACTTATGATAAAACATAAGAAACATCTTTCAACAATTATCTTCTAGAATCTTGCTACATTGTATCTCCTATAATTATAACTGGAGATATTTTTTTAACTGTCAATAGTTTTTCGGTATTTATAATTGCTGATCTTCTGATAGCATAATCTACAACAATAAATATAAATATTATGATATTTTCTTTTTCTTCGTGCACATGGTTAAATACAATTCATGTAATTGCTTAGATTCATAAACAGTGAGAAATACAAATCTTCTGATTTGAAAAGATATAATAAATACCTTTTTAAATGACTGTAAACGTGAACATTTTCGCGATTTCAATACATGAACTTTCGCGCGGACATTAAATTCGCAAATCAACGATTTGTTCACCCTGCATATAATAATTGTTAATTTCTACAAATTATTTGCGCAAGAGATATTTTCTCTGATGTTATGTGATCGCGAAGTAGGCAACAAATTAATGAATAAATAAATAAAACACCGTGCAAAATTTCAGTGATTAAGATTAAATTTTATAACAACTAAAAATCTAAGTCGTAACATAATTTGAAATCAACTTCGTATTATCATTTCAGACAAAATCAACGTAGACTTAGTCTACGAGTTCTATTCAAATAATGGTATAACTACCCTTATATCATGTTTATTAAATATACCACATAATATACCTTATTATAGTAAGAACAACAATCCCTATGGAGGTCGTCAGTAGTATAATTTTGACTATTACCATTTCATCTAAAATTAAAAGAATATCTTTACGTAAATGAAAGGATTTTGCGATACAAAACATTTTAACAATTTAAGTATGTTTTACCTATCTTATAACAGAATAATATCATATGTTTATTGTACATGTGCAAAACGCATTGAAAACGTCTATCAACGAGGGTATAATGTACGATGTACATATATGCGAATTCTACGATAGAATAACAAGTGATAACACTGACCAAAAAATTACTAGGGATAATCAAATCTTGGAATGTTACTCTTACTTGTATGTTTAGTCAAGGATTTCGTTACAACAAATTACTTAAAACCTTAACTCAATTCTTGCATAGATACTACTAAGATTTGGTTTGGAAGTTTGGCTATACCTGTTGAAAACAGGATAGGCCAAAAGTCATCCTAGTTTCTACGATGATGTTGTTTATCGAGTCCGTAAATTTAGAAAAGATTCGGGCAAACAAATCGATCCTTTAGATAAATTTATTTTAAAAGATTACCAATGTCATACTGTAATTAGATCTTTGAATATTTTTTTTTATCGGTATAAAGATTGATTTTGGTATCAATAAATCAAAACTCAAAACATTATTGCTATACACCTATAAACATTGATGGTCCTACAATGTGTCGATACCAATATTTTGGTGTTACACAATATCATGTTTTTCTATGACTGTTAACGACGTCTTTACACTAAATCCGTTGGATGGTGAATGTGTACTCATGTATACTTTAGTCTTATTAGATATATGATTTTTTAAAATTAGTTGTTGAATTAGCTTTCAGTAACTGTGAGTACTCTCAGATCTGTACTTTGTGTCTTTAGTGTCTTTGTTTTTTGTTTTTATGCTTTGTATCGATCTGATGAGTTTGTTTTTATGTTGTCCTGTTACACCATTGTCCCAGGTTATGGGGAGGGTTGATCGCCCGTAAACATGTTCAACCCCGCCACATTAAGAATGCGCCTATCCCAAGTCAGGAGCTTGATATTCAGTGGTTGTTTCTCGCTGTATATCATACTTGCTTTGTACAAAAATTAGGCCGTACGGTGACATATAGTTGCTAACGTCTACGTTATTTGGTCTCTGTGGAGAGTTAACTCGTTGGCAATTATACCACATCTTCTTTTATTATATTGTAGTAAAAGTTTATTCATATCCTTGAATATCAATTTAAAATTTTACATACGTTTTGTGTTCGTTTTCATACGTTCATGCGACAGACCCTACATTGAAAAATTGTTTGTTTAGACATTTATGTAGCTCATATGTCTATTATGAAAAATGAAAACATGCGTTTCCATCTTTAAAAAATCTTAATTAAAATGGAAAGAAGACAAATTTTATGTTTGTTACGCTAAATTGTACATGTTGGATTCCAAATTCCATAAATGTAGGAACATGTTGGAAATAAATGTGCTTCATATGTATATATTGAACTAAAATGTCTGTCAGATAGGATAATCACAATAATATTTACTTTGTTTACAAACAGTATTTTTAACAATTACCATTTTTGTTAGTTTCTTTAAATCTTGATGAAAACTGTGAGGTTGAATTTTCTTTTACAGTTGAGATTGGATATAAAGCAGTTTTGTGACCTGACAAAAATATATTGAAACCAGATTATTATTGTAAATATTGTATTGCTTGTAATGAAATACCTTGATTTCCGGGTAAAACAAATTTACATGAGAAATATATCCTGTTATTTTATTCTGGCGTCACAACAGTGGATGTTGTGTTAAGAAGTTGTTAATGATTTTGCATCGGGGAATTTTATTTCAGAGTAGTTGACAAAGTTGCATTCTAGCGCAATTGTTTGAATGAAAAACACGTCAGTTTCATTTACTCAGTTCTAATTGTAAGTAATTTAAATTTAAAAAAACAATAACCAAAACCATATATCAAAATTCTTCTTTCTATAATTTTGTTTTATACTTTTATTGTAAAATATAAAGTATACACCTTTAAACAAAAATAATAAAAGCGTATATTCATACCACCCAAACAAATAAATGGGAGCAATTCTGAACAATTCTTTTCTTGGTAATGGCTCCATTGTATAAAGTCAATGTTAAACTCCATTGTCCTAGGTTATGGGGAGGGTTGATTGCCCGTAAACATGTTCAACCCCGCTACATTAAGAATGCGCCTATCCCAAGTCAGGAGCTTGTTATTCAGTGGTTGTTTCTCGCTGTATATCATACTTGCTTTGTACAAAAATTAGGCCGTACGGTGACATATAGTTGCTAACGTCTACGTTATTTGGTCTCTGTGGAGAGTTAACTCTTTGGCAATCATACCACATCTTCTTTTATTATATTGTAGTAAAAGTTTATTCATATCCTTGAATATCAATTTACAATTTTACATACGTTTTGTAATCGTTTTCATACGTTCATGCGACAGACCCTTCATTGAAAAATTGTTTGTTTAGACATTTATGTAGCTTATATGTCTATCATGAAAAATGAAAACATGCGTTTCCATCTTTAAAAAATCTTAATTAAAATGGAAAGAAGACAAATTTTATGTTTGTTACGCTAAATTGTACATGTTGGATTCCAAATTCCGTAAATGTAGGAACATGTTGGAAATAATGTGCTTCATATGTATATATTGAACTAAAATGTCTGTCAGATAGGATAATCACAATAATATTTACTTTGTTTACAAACAGTATTTTAAAACAATTACCATTTTTGTTAGTTTCTTTAAATCTTGTTGAAAACTGTGAGGTTGAATTTTCTTTTACAGTTAAGATTGGAAATAAAGCAGTTTTGTGACCTGACAAAAATATATTGAAACCAGATTATTATTGTAAATATTGTATTGCTTGTAATGAAATACCTTGATTTCCGGGTAAAACAAATTCACATGAGAAATAAATCCTGTTATTTTATTCTGGCGTCACAACAGTGGATGTTGTGTTAAGAAGTTGTTAATGATGTTGCATCGTGGAATTTTATTTCAGAGTAGTTGACAAAGTTGCATTCTAGCGCAATTGTTTGAATGAAAAACACGTCAGTTTCATTTACTCAGTTCTAATTGTAAGTAATTTAAATTAAAAAAAAACAATAACCAAAAACATATATCAAAATTCTTCTTTCTATAATTTTGTTTTATACTTTTATTGTAAAATATAAAGTATACACCTTTAAACAAAAATAATAAAAGCGTATATTCATACCACCCAAACAAATAAATGGGAGCAATTCTGAACAATTCTTTTCTTGGTAATGGCTCCATTGTATATAGTCAATGTTAAACTCCATTGTCCCAGGTTATGGGGAGGGTTGATCGCCCGTAAACATGTTCAACCCCGCCACATTAAGAATGCGCCTATCCCAAGCCAGAAGCCTGTTATTCAGTGGTTGCTGTTTCTCGCTGTATATCATACTTGCTTTGTACAAAAATTAATATTTACTTTGTTTACAAACAATATTTTAAAACAATTACTATTTTTGTTAGTTTCTTTAAATCTTGATGAAAACTGTGAGGTTGAATTTTCTTTTACAGTTGAGTTTGGAAATAAAGCAGTTTTGTGACCTGACAAAAATATATTAAAACCAGATTATTATTGTAAATATTTCACTAGTTGTAATGAAATACCTTGATTTCCGGGTAAAACAAATTCACATGAGAAATAAATCCAGTTATTTTATTCTTGAGTCACAACAGTGGATGTTGTGTTAAGAAGTTGTTATTGACTTTGAATCATAGAATTTGATTTGAGAATAGTTGACAAAGTTGCATTCTAACGAAATTGTTTGAGTGAAAAAATACGTCAGCTTCATTTACTCAGTTCGATTTGTAAGTAGATGCCATTTTAATTTTATAAAACAATAACCAAAAAAATATGTCAAAATTCTTCTTTCCATAATTTTGTTTTAAACTTCTATTGTAAAATCTAAAGTATACACCTTTAAACAAAAATAATAAAAGCGTATATTCATACCACCCAAACAAATAAATGGGAGCAATTCTGAACAATTCTTTTCTTGGTAATGGCTCCATTGTATATAGTCACTGTTAAACTCCTGGTTATTCTTTACGAAAATTGCAATACATTTCCTTCTTTCCTTGTCTGAAATAGTGATGAAACATTTACATATTTTTTGTAATTAATTATTGTTATTTAAGAGAGAGAAAGAGAGGCGAAGGATATTAAAGGGACATTCAAACTTATAAGTCGAAAACTAAACTGACAACGCCATGGCTAAAATAGAAAAAGACAAACAGAAAAACAGAAAAACAACAGTACACTTAACACAACATAGAAAACCAGACTGAACAACACGAACCCCACCAAAAACTGGGGGTGATCTCAGGTGCTCCGGAAGGGTAAGCAAATCCTGCTCCACATGTGGCACCCGTCGTGTTGCTCATGTTAGTACAAAACTGCTGATAAGTCTAATTATGTAGGTCATATTCGGAAAAAAGGGGACGTGATTGTAGTTACGAAAATTTAAATCTTAATTGAAGTACGTTAGAGAACGCAAGAAAGCTATTAATATCAACAACACATTTAACGTAACGCGTACTGAAGTTGATTTGTTATGATACAAGCGGATGATTCTAATTAGTGAGCATACTGGTTCATAAACATATCTTTATGACACGGCTTATAGCATCAAATTGAATATTTCCTATCGACTATTTACTCTATATGGTTTTTAACTTTGAGCTGCAAAGTGTTCTAAACGTGAAAAGAGTGTGGCACTCTCAAATATAATTCGAACACATTGAAACTTATCACAAGAGATGTACGGTTAGATATATTTTCGTACACCTTCATACTAGAGTTAAAAAGAACCTTCATTTTGTAGGAAAATTATGTCATTTCCCCCCCCCCCCCCCCACCCCACCCCCTTTTTACATGCCGAATCTAGGACTCATCTACTTGATCGGTGAATAATTCGCAATTATTTTACTAACATTGTGTAAAATAATATAAACGGTAACAATTTAACTGCACCAGATGCACGTTTCGACAGTTAGATGTAATACCTCTTCGGTGATTCTTGAGGCCAAAAATCTTTACAAACATTGAATAGTTGATTCAACCAAAGTGAACCAAACGTTTAGCTAAAACGTAACAAGGAATAAGATTTATGCACGAGGGAGTAACGTTCTTTAACTAAAGTGATTTCCAAAATATGATTATAGTTTTGTAAAATGTTCAATTAGTTATAATTATTGCTCATATTTATTTATACATATATTGTGCACATGTTCAACCCTGACAAGTAAATATTTTGTCAAATACTATGTTAACCAGAAAAATACTCATGCCGTCATACACGAATGCATATTTGTCCACTCAATTTATAAACTAGAGGCTCTCAACAGCCTGTGTCGCTCACCTGTATCTACTGTGGTTTTGGAAATCATGTAAAATAAGGTTACAATCATAATTAATAGTATTATATATCCCAATAATGATTGAGACCAGATTTGGTTTAATTTGGCCCAATAGTTAAATTAAACGCAGGTCATCCCATTGTAGTCTTACAATAGTTACGGAAGACCCCTCATCATTATTTAAATTAGTTTTCAAGTTGTGACCATTTGAAATTGTTTTTTTTTACAATTTTTCCATAGACTTCTATAGTAAAACCCTATGTTCTATTTTTTTGCCATGGCGGCCATCTTGGTTGATGGCCGGGGTCATCGGATACATCATTTAAACTAGATACCTTAAGGTAAAAGATTACAAAAATTTACGAAAAATTGACTTTAAAGGGCAATAACTCCTTATGGGTTGAATTGACAATTTTAGTCATGTGGACTTATTTGTAGATCTTATTTTGCTGAACAATTCTGATGTTTATCTCTATCTATTATAATATTCAAGAAAGTAACCAAAAACTGCAAAACTTCCTTAAAATTACCAATTCAGAGACAGCAACCCAACAACGGGTTGTCTGGTGCGTCTGAAAATTTCAGGGCAGATAGATCTTGACCTGGTGAACATTTTTATCGATGTCAGATTTGTTCTAAATGCGTTAGTTTCAGAAATATAAACCAAAAACTGCAATATTACCACTATGTTCTATTTGTAGCCATGGCGGCCATCTTGGTTGATGTGCTGGGTCATCGGATGCGTTTTTAAAACTGGATACCCTAAGGATGATTTAGGCCAAGTTGACCCAGTAGTTTCAGAGGAGAAGATTTTTGCAAAAGTTAACGGACGACGACGACGGACGACGGACGCTAAGTGATTAGAAAAAGCTCACATGGCCCTTTTTGACCAGGTGAGCTAAAATGATATAGAAATTATCACGTTAGATACGTGGTATATAAATTAAGTTTTTGAAACAACTGCACAATTATATCGTAAAAATTATACAGTTAAAAACTTACATGTAAATGAAATCAACAATCTATAAACTTGCTGTGTCCTAAGTATTTTTCGGGATTTACCTTCATCGGGAACGTTCAAATTCCAAAAAGTAGGAATGCCAAGGATGTCAAGGTAGTTACATGTAATCACACGAAGAACTATTATACCAAAGTAGTCACAATCGATCCAGTGAAAGAAATGGATTGATACACAAATTAATACTGATTGTAAGCATGATTTTATATCACAATTAAGAGAGAAAAATTGTTTACAAATAGCGTACATACATGTTTGAACTGTTAATGCTTACTTGTAGCTTGATGTAATATTTGATATCTGAAATATCGTAGCCAAAGACCGGCCGATGAGTTTCTGACTGCATTTGGCAGTTGTTTTACAATTTGTACAGTTATTGACAGCGTTAATCCAATTTGTGTGCAGACCAATATTTTCTGCAAAGAAAAAATAAATTGATATGAAAACAGTCGTTTTGGGGTATTTTAAGTCCTACACGTTGATATGAATAACACCATCTTGTTAAGCAGTCATACTGCACTTATGAAAAAAAAGCTTTTTGTTCTAATGATTATTCTTGAAACGCGAACTCCAGCTTTAATATAAGTCATAGGGCTGACATAACGTTTTGCAAACGTGAAGTGCACATTGATTAGAGTGGGTCAAGATATCATTTGAAGCAGTTTTTTTTGGTCCATAATTTCTAGATTGCTCGGATAGATCAGATGCATTTTATGATTATAATTACTATTATTGAAAATAAAATGAGGACATTCTGTAAATTTCAGAAACAATTATGTAGCTGATGTGACTGTATGCTTTGACAAACAAGACCAATACCGAGTCTGAACCTGCGTCGCTGTATTGAATTGATTGAGGTGACATGTATATTGACGCAAAACTAAACGTTCCTTTCAATGAAGTCAAGAAAACCTTTGACAAAAATATTCCTTGTACAATGAGTGTTGTTAAGTTTCAAACTATCGGTAAACAGGAAGTGGCTGCACGGCAGATGTAAAAATTACTTACCCGCTATAACTTGGCCCAAATCATTTCCAAATAGAATGCAACATCTATGGTTGCAAGTGCTCTTCGTGACAACGTTTAAACAATGCATAGAAAAACAAATGAGTTTTAAATAATCCATGTTTGTAGGAAAAAAGACCGAATACACATTTTTTCACAGATCCCATGTATTCCGGTATACACAGTAACTCCCTATATACATGTATGTAATTTTATCAAGTTGTTCTAAAATTGTTCGGCACTCATGGCATGTTTTTGACCTTTCCAAAGCTGGTTCTTCAGTAAACAGGAATTATAAGGTTAGCATATTTAGTCAATTTTCCTTTCGATTAAATAATTCACAGGGTAGTAGTATTGGAAATCATTACCATTTCCAACTTTATATTTGATAATAACAAAATCCGTTTTTGAATCTTACTCTTTTAACCCGCCTCTTTACAATGTATGCACACGACATCGCAATACATGACGGTCAAATATACTTTTTAAAAGTGATGCATCGTAAGTAAGATTATCATTATAATATGACCATATACCGTCATAAGTTAGCATTCTGCTTTCTGACCCCTTGATTGAATCAAAATCTGCATCAACGAATGAAAAAGACACAATTAAAAACGGAAAGTCATATCAAGTTATAAATAAGAATATATATATTAAATATATCTAACAACATATAAGACCAAATAGCAGTTTGAATTGTAATATTTAAAAAATGTTTATCCGTATTGTTTAGAAAGTATTAATTAGATGGAGCTAGTCCTTTGGTTTCATAATCGTAGAGATGAATAAAAAATAATTAATAGAAACTTACCTATTCCATTACAGTTGAAGCCATGAAATCCAGTGTAGCAGTTATCATCGTAGTTGTAGCCATGTTTTGTAGCCACACAATGGTATGAGTAATAAAACATACTTCGTCTTGAAATTACCTCTAAACATGAAAATTGAATGAAATAGACACTTTTTACATTGGTTAAATACCAGGGTTTTATTTCAATTTAACCACTGTTACGTACTTGATTAGTTGACAAGTGACGTAGAGCATGTTAGATATCGGTACAACAAATAAACTGCCTTTGGTCTCTTGTGGAGAGTTGTCTCATCGGCAATCATACCACATCTTCTTTTTTTATATTTAAGTGATATTTATCTATGTAACAATTTTCATACTGTAACACATTTTCAAAAATCATAAATGCCTGTCAGAAGAAAAACACATTTTTTTGTGGTAAAAAATGAAATTTATTATGCACAAAAGGGCAAATAAACGATGATCTCAAGTTGTTTTACTTAACTAAAAAAATTTTAAACTTCATGTAAATTTTCATATTTAGTATGACATTTTATTTTTGAGTACGAAGTGAATGATATGTATCACTACTCTGTTTTGAATCTACCTGGCTTATATTTAAACAACGGAACTCCAAATCCTGATGAACAGAAAACCGAGTCCGTGCGACACGGCGATATACAGAAAGTGGTATCAGTAACTGGATACGTTCCAATGCTTTTAATACATAAACAGGTCGTTATCTGAAAAAGAACTATAATTGTTGATGTATTAACATACAAATTAACACCCGCAAAAATTGTTTACAAATTATCTTCAGTCGTTTCATTATCAAGGACGTGAGGAATACAAGTTAATGTCCGACTGGAGTTTGCAAAAGATAAATAATTAAAATGTTTATGGCTGCTGCATTTTCATAAGAATATGGATATACTGTCGACGCGAAGCCCTTGTTCTCATGTTGTTTTAATTGATTGGATCAAGATTGTTTTTCATCTAGTGAAAGACTGCAATTATCTACCTCAATTTTTCATTATTCAATTTTATCTTAAACCATTAATTTACAGCTATAATACCAAGTTATGTGTATCTTTTGTTTGTGAGAAGTTTACAGGTACAATGTATGTATCCACATTTATGGTAGATCAATAATCAAATTCCATAAATCGATTGAAAAGATACATAATAAAGATTAAAATTAAAACGGAAGGAATTGCATCACCTCAAATAGGAGCGATACCGGGTGCAACAACAAGACAAGCGTCTCCTGCTATACAAGTATTACCAGCCATGCGAATATACACTTAGTCAAAATGTCACAATCGGTAAATATACAATACTTGTACATTGTCGGAAAATATAAAGTATTTATGTACGAGCTTTAGAAACTCAACGAAAAGCGAACCTCGCCGAGCTCTTCTCCTGTTTCGTAGCGAGTACAAATAAATATTTATATATTCCGACAATGTACATATATTGTTTTATCCTGTAATTTAAAAGTTTAAAAGTGGACCGCGAAATGAACTGCCACCCAAAAAGAAATTTTCACATTTCCGTTTGTTCAATATGGAAGCGGAGTAACGGGAGACTTTATTTGTACAAGTTCTTATGAAGTAAAAATTTATTTGTGTACCTATTATTTGTACAATAGTTGGCTGATTGCAGGATAAATATAGAGATCACACGACTATATTTTGGTATTTAAAGATCGAAGATTGCGACAACAGGCAGCTAGATTTACTAGTAGTTAAAAAGTTAAAAATAGAAAAATAAGTTTGATTTGACACCATACATACTTACATAGTAGACAAAATAATTCATGTTTGTACAATAAATCGAACATTATATCATCTTTAGCTGCAATAAAAATGTGTTCGCTATTTGAAAGGTATGTGTACAATCGATGTTCGTCTTCTTTTGGTATGTGAATGTCAATACAGCCTGTAAATATATTCAACTGTAAAATGAAGCAGTACAATCATTTCTGTCTACATATCAATATAGGCTGATGGAATACCGGCACGTGTTACGTACTTATTGCATTGTTCTGCTTAAATGTATATACGTTAAGACTTTTCTGCGCACGCGCTTGTTTGATTTGTTTTGGACAATATTCAAATTTAACATCACTGTGAAAACACAACTAACCTGTCTTCAATTTCAAATATAGAAGTTAAGAAACTGTCAGTAGCACTGTCACTTAAATGTATAAGACGTTGATCAAAAACTTTAAGAAGTCCTTATTTTGATTTTTTTTTGTAAAATCAACTGGGTTTTTGGTCGTGCAAAACTTATCGATTAATCACTAAAACATCTTTTAGGGGATACGATACATTTACAGGGGGGATATTGACGTTGCTAACGTAAAATGTTAATTTTCACGACGACAAACTGTGACATATCTGGAAAAGATGCAATTTCCGACTGATTTAACTTGAAAACAAGTTGATGGATCCCTCTTTTTTAAAATGATGTCTGATTCGATTATGTGTAAAGAATATTGGTGTCAAATTTTATGAACATTTCACCGATGAATTTTTTTAAAATTAGATAAATATAGTTAAAAAAAATGCCGTTTTTCGACTAAAATCATGAAAATGTGATAAAAAGTTATTATTTCCAAAGAGTTGTTAAACAAATTGAAGCACACTTATGTAGAGGAGATGTTCCAAATGTGTTTAAAAAAATCTTTTAAAACAAAATTTAGGTATGTCTTTTCAAAGGATAGAAATGTCCAATAAACCAAAATTTCCAGCAAATGTCCAAAATTTCGACCCCATTTATCTCTAAAAGTAGCAAATGAAAGTATATTTTTTATTACATATTTGAATTGACTAGGTGAAATATAAATGAATAATATCAATTTATGAATGACATCGTTTCCTTTATGAAGATTTATATATTCGTCGATTTGTATTTTAAATCTTAACGTTTAACTTATAATGACCGTAAAAGAATGCCCAGTCTGAAAACAACTCTTGTGTTGAAGTCCTAGCATAAAATCCATTATCTTCTTCGTAATCATTACTGGGTAATATCATGCTGAGCTGTGGAACTGAACAACTTCTTTTAGCTGCTTCCCAAATAACTGGAATTTACGAAAAAACATTATATTACTATAAAAAAACACACAGTACACAAAAGATAGATGTGTGAAAGAGAAATAAAGTACGAAACAACCATAGCAGAGAAAGCAAAAGTTTTGTCAAAGTTATTATAAATTGTATAAACAAAAAAAAGAGATATATTACAAAAAAGACAAAAGGCGAGAAATAAAGAACTCGCTTGCGTTTTTTTTTCCTGGACGAATTTTTGTGTGCGTTATTAGGTCCCCATATTTCTGTGTTCGACAAAATGGTATATCGGTGTTACTTGTAGATCGTAAGTCATAGAGACCTATATACTTTTGACAACAAGTCTTTGGACCATAGGCAGGACATTAAGGTCAATGGCAAAGGTCAACAGTCAAGTTTATATTCTCAATTATGATCTACTTTAATGTCATTGCAACTTTTCAGAAACGGTATAGTTATCAACATATGAATTTCTCATATTGTAAGTTACGACGCCAATATATTGGGATCCAAGTTCTCTGGTGACTATTTAAAGAAGTTTTCTCCCCTTTCATATTAAAAAAGCTGTTTGGTAGGATCCTCTTCTAAACCATGCACATTATAAATTTGGGGTCTTTCGATTTGAAAATATTGAACTTTGACATTTACACTGAGGTCAAGGTCAAGGATAATTGAACATTTTAGAGTTTGACCTTCGCTTGTTTTGGAACTAATAGAGAGCTAAACAAAGAAAAAATATTTAAGACATTTTGGCAGAGATTTTAAATCGATCCAATGACATGTATAGGAGTTATTGCGCTTTTGATACTTAAACTTATAAATAATTGGTTATAACTTCATACAAGCTTCATACTGGTATATGATTAGGCTACAGTGTTTTTTTTTGTATTAGGTAAAGAGACACATGACCTTGAAAAAAATGTCAACCGAAACTGACATGGTGTTAACCAGAAGCAGAAACGAAATAATTTTTTAATTATTGTAATGTAAGTTATCAAGTTATCTCACTAATTTGGTAAAATATATGGAAACCATATTTTTCAGAATCAGTGTAAAATATTTTATCATTTATTAAACCTGAATTTACTGATTATCGAAATTATTTCATAAAAATATTTAATAACTCATATATGTTTTAGTGTAAGATGAGTTTTCTACTTATACCTTAAACCAGCAACATGAGTATAAAAGGGTTGCATCCCTTGAATTCTTAAAATCTGTAAATAATTGACAGGGTTCAAATCAGAGACAATGTTTTATGAATAACTTTTATTATCACTTGTAATTTATTATGATTTTTGTTACATATGTTCTTTCAAGAATTTTCAACATATTATGTGGAAAAAAAATTTAAAAATCTTTCTATCTTTTAAATATTCCATGTTTAAAAATCTGAAGTGAACAGATTTTTAGTTCAAATTTGAATTTTGAAGGCGGAGCCTGACAACAGCTGATTCTGTTTGTAAACAAATGCACATGGAAAATAATGTTCATGCATAATAAAGACAGCACCTACCTAATTTGCAGAGATATCCAATGTTTAAATCCCTTTGAAACATTACACAAACTTTCCTTCCAGAAAACTTATTTTGTTAATTAATCCAATAAGTTAAATTGTATATAAACATTGAGTGCAAAGTAATAAAAAAAGGTCAAAAGGGTTTAATTATATCAGTCACTACAGGTTGAAATAAAAAAAGTATATCATGAATTAGTGCCATCTATGTCCCATGTATGGTTTAGATTTAGGGTTTGGGTACAATTCCCTCACAAGATTTAACACACAATCGGGGATAACCTCTCTTCTGACGATAACAACAGTTTCATCAACCCTATCCCTATTCAAAAGCCTGCATTTTTTCCTGAGATATTGAGGACTGCTCCATGCTCCTCTATCCTGCATCATTCTCCAGAATAATTTATATTTCAGTTTTCTAATTCCACTATTCCTAGCATGTGCCCTCTGTCCTACACCTAACCAATTTTGTCTTTTTTGTGTAACACAAGGACTGCAAAAACAATCCTGACACATATCTTCATCATTGGTATCATTTCCAGCACTTTGTTGATCTGACCCACTTTGACCAGGGTTCTCAATTTCATCAGCTGCACTAATATTGGTTTCTGCATTATCTTCTAAATGAAGGTTAGAAGAAGTACTTGATGGTGCTATCTCATTAAAGTCCCAATCATTGTGGCTAAAAAATGCCTGAATTGCAAGTTTCTGTTCCTCTGTTACAGCCAAAGAAAGAATATTTTGATCATTTTGGTTTTCCATTTTACTATAGATTTCAAAAATGTCATGTGTAACAGTTTTAGGTGTGCCAGTATCACTTTGCACACTTTTGATGGGGGTTTGGGGATCGTTAAAATTTTTAATGTCCAATTAAGTGTTTTTTTTTATCTTTACACGAAACACATTAGTGTTATAACCTGTGATTTATATACCTAAGATAAATGTAAAAGCTGCTGAATTGACACAATATTTTATCAAATATATATATTCTGCTCTTGTTTCCCAAGTTCACCCCAGATAAATAGTGAAGTCTAGCATTTTGACAGTGGGGGGAAACCCAAATGTAATTTATTTTTGAGGGAAAGTTTTCAATAATTGCATTACAAATACAAATAAAATCTCAAAAAATATTAAATAATATCTTCCAAAAACCCTCAAGAAAAAG